ACTATAGTTTGTATTATAATCAAGAATGTAATTTATTTCCTATTTTTAGGTTCAGAAACACATTGTATTATACTAAAAAAATTCAGTGAGTCTTTGTTTATTTACTTAGATGTATTTAGTACAAAATATCAAGCTACTTACAATGTCTGATGTTTCTAAGTGGTCACACATCGAAGCTAATGTTTCTTCACTCAAGAACAATCTGTTCACTGTACCTGGTGTTCCTGAGCAGTCAACCAGTTTAACAATGATCTGACTTGATGTTGCTTAACTTTGAAGATCACATAAAAACTGGCGCTTTTAGTGTAATTTGACCATGAGTTTTAACTATTTAGTCTGGCACAAGGTTACTATTTTTAGGAAACCATAGGAATCAATCTTATTGCATTAATTAATTTTTTTTAACAATTATGCCACAGTAGCCAGCCCATTTTTTAATCATTGTCACTTTTTACTGATGATGACTAAAAAAAAAAAAAGATAATGTATGAGAAAAAATAACCCTAAATTAATTTTTTTACAAGTTCTTGTTCCCCCAAATACAAGGCCTAAGAGTCACTCAAGCCACTACTGAATAAGGCTGTTTTATGGATTGGATTGTAGACTACGAGGATATGTAAGACAGGTAATGGTTGACTGGATCTGAAGAGGTTGAGAATGTAGGGGGAAGCATCCTTTTGGAGTCTGTTCCACAAAGCAGTGGCTCTTGGGAAGAAACTGTCCAAATGTAACTTCTTCATTACCAATGGAATATGAAGGGAATGTGGACATGGCATAGTGGGCCCTTGCTGTAAAGTTCTGAACTGGTAGAACTAGGGAATATAGCTTGTCAGAACATTTTCTATCAAAATAGTGATTGGTTTGCGATATTGTATCTGTGGAGGTTGTAGGGTTGAAAATAATTCATCACTTTCAAGGCTGTATAAATGCTCCTGAAATCTGTTTGATTGTTGGAAAGAGAGGATTGGACAGTTCCAAGATATGGCAGCAATACTCCATTTTTGATCTGATCTGACTCCTGTAAAAGAGCATGGTAAATGGTGCTTTTTGGAACAGTATAAAGAGCTGATCATTTTTTAGTGTCTTTAGTAATGGTTTATATATATGAGTTCCAATTTATGATTGGGGTGAACTTGAGTCCCAATAAACAAAAACAAAAACAAGAAGACTCTTTGAGAGTACAATCATTCATCATGACTGGTGAGAATTTAGGGTCAGCTTGGTGATAGTGAAAATTTACTAGTTTAGTTTTTGAAGAACTGAAAGTTACAATCCAGTTTTGCCCCCAGTGAGCAGTTAGAGCTAGATCAGATGAGAGATCAGTGACAAATCCTTGGTAATCTAGGTTTTTGGAGGTGCACAGATAGAAAATTTTATTGCGCAGATGCTCATTCATTCATTTCTACACTCATAATTGTCATATACCAGTTAGTTGGTGATAGGATAAAAAACAAGGAGAAGTGGATTCATGCCTTTCTTGAGGTATAAATGCAAAGTGAAAAACTTTATATGAAGGACCAAACTGGACAGGAAAGTTTTTTTTTTTTCTGCAGTGGTAATTTTATTTTTTGGGGGAAATCTCTTGTTGCTCAAGCCCAAAATTTTGCAACACTACTGTGTGTGTATCTTTCAATATATGGTAATTGTTCTGATAAGCTTTCCTCTATGGTAGCTAGACTTCATGAATTTAAGTACAGTACTTAATTTTAATATTGGCTACAAGGTCTCATCCTCTTATAGTTGAAGTGGCTGAATGTAACCATAAGTTCTATGCTAACAGTTTTTTCTCTCACATGTCAAACTTTCTTCTGCCTTCTTGCTTAACTTTGGTTGTGAAAAATCTAAATGCAATGCCAATTGTTATCTTTTGTCTTAATTCCTTTTCTTTTATTGTTCATTTTCCTTAATAATACTTTTCTTTTTCTCATATGTTTTCATACTCACTAGTGGCTTTATTGCCTTGCTTAGGTGAACAATTAAAAAGAAAAAAAAAAATGGATGCCCTATTTTTTATTTATTAAACTATATTAAGTCTATCGGCTTGCACATCTTAGTAAAGAAAATGTTTTCCAGTAGGAACCCAGCTGGTGTGCCCTGCATATTTTTTTTTTTTTGGGGGGGGGGACTACTGTTTGATCCAGAATGATTTACTGCTTGGCCTAGAAGGACTCCACAGTAAGCAAGACTCTTTTTACCCTATTTATAGAAAGCACATCCTCTACAGTCAGATTATTTTTCTGGAGACTTCATATCTATTCAGTTTCATATCCGAAATATAAACAAAGCAATTTCTAAAGAATTAATCCAAAATTTTTTTATTACTTCAAACATAGTGAACAATGGGGCATCTATTTTACATTAGGAGTGTCCGCTATAATAATATTATATTAAAAATAATGGTTTTAAGTTTTCCTAATCCAAGGGAAGCTACTCTTGCTGTATTTATTTTTTTATTTTATTTTACTGCTTGGATATTTACTTATGCTTATTTTAGTGTAACTGAAGGCCAGATTGAAATAAGAAGATTGTATTCTGCCAACTTTCCAAGTTAGAGAAACTGTCTATCTTGGAAATCAGTATTTGAAATCTTGCCTTTTTGCTAAGGATTCAGCATCAAACTCTGTCACAAGTGACAACAGTTTCTAAAGAATTAATGGATTTATTTTTAAGCCAACATTTTTTTTTTTTTTATTACTTCAAACATATTGGACACTTATTTGAAATGGGGCATCTATTTCACATTAGGATTGTCTGCTATAATAATGTTGGACTAAAAATAAATTTGAAAATAAATTTGAATTTCCAAAGACCAGATTTTCTTGTCTATCGAGTAAAAGTGCCTCCATTTTTAGCAAAGATTAGTTCTGCTTTTCATATTCAACAATTACCTGCACTAAAACAAAATTTTAAAATTTTTGGTCATTCTTCTATCATCAGTAAATTGAGGGAATGGTTTTTCAATAAGTGCCACAGAATTATTCCAATGTCTTATTTCGAATTCAATCAAATTGTGTGTATGTGGGCTTGTGTGTGTGGACATTAAATGGTACAAGTACATGTAAATCACTCATGCATGACACAAAAATATGAATATACATTACATAAGCACATGCAAAGTCACATGTAGACAGTGCATGATGGATAGAAAATCAGTTATTTTATAATAAAAACTAGTTTGTTATCTGTCACTTTGCTGATAACAAGATTATCAGATTTCAAATTTAAATTTTTTGTTCATTTAAAATTAAAAAATTTTTTTTTAATCAATTTACCCCAAGCAAGGCAATAATGCCACTAAAATGCAAAGGGGGTTAGTGGGAGTGAAAGAAAATGAAATATACTTTATAAGGAACCAGAAACCCAATACTAAACAGGAAACAAAGAATAAACTGCCATTCCTGTTTAAAAAACCAGAGAGGGGTGTGAATTGGACAGTATACAGAAGGAATAATAACAATGACTTTAAAGAATCAGTATATAATCTTGTATATAGAAAGAGAAATCAGCTCTTGCCACATAGATGCCACATTTCATTCAAATTGTATGTGTATAAGTATATTTTAATTCGATGTCAGACCTAAAAAATATTTCTATAAAATTTAAAAAAAAAAAAAAACTTTAAAAAATAATTCTATTCAAGACCAAAAAATTTCAGAAAAAGTTTTATAAAAAATATATAATTATCTGATTTGAAGGTTTAAAAATTTTTTTTTCTTGCTTCCAACTTTTGATTTCCTGGATCACCCCAAGGTACATGTTGTTCAGACTGAATGAGAGGGGAATACTTCATTCCAGTGTCATATTTCAAATTTAGTCAAAGTGTGTGTGTATTAAATGGCACAAGCACACATGTCACCACAGTTATACATTACATATGTTCATGCAAAATTACATGCAGATAGTGTGATGGACAGAGAATCAACTCTCTTATGCTTTATTATTATTAGATAAACATATAAATTTAATTTTTTGCCACGTGTCAAAAGGATGTTTTTTCCTTTGACACCACTATTAATTTTACCTTCACTCCTTGGCAATGATATTTTTTTTTAAAAAGTGATGATGTGAATTTATACATTTTCTTTGTTCTTGAGAATTGACAACAAAAATAATACGATTTGTTTATTAGCTTGCTTATTTACTCTGTGTTTATTGGAATAGTTGGCAAAACCTCAGCTAATTGCTAATCAATTCAAACTGTATAAAATGTTAAATAAGGATTTCTTTATAGTTGGCTCACGTATTTTAATAATTTAGTAAATGTTTATAAATTTATAAATAAAAATAGTTTTCATATTTATTTCTTTAAAAATTGGTAAAAGATAAATATTGCATTAGATTTTATAAAATTGTAAATATAAAATTATTCATGTAAATAAACAATCTAATAAATAAATAATATTTCATATTTTTATCATAAATTCTCCAAAAGAAAAAAAAATGTAAATTCATTTTCATCGCTTTTTAAAACAATAAACATTGCCGAGGAGTGAAGGTAGTTAAAATAATAGTAGTGTCAAGGGAAAAATCATCCATTAAGAACACATCATATTTTTTTTGTAGGCATGAAAGTCCAAGATTGCTAATTTTTTAAAAATTTTTAGGAAAATATAATTGTTAATCCAAACAATAATGTACTTAATTCTTGGCAAAATGAGTGACTTGATTAAACAAGGAGAAAAAAAAAAAAGACAAAATATGATCAACAAAAATTCTTTCTAGAAGCATGCAAATCTGGAAAAGGAGCTTAAAAAAAAAAACACAAAAAAATTGTACAAAACAAGTGACACTTGTGCAGCAGAGAAAGCAACTGTAACTGTCAACAAGAAAAACTGTCCATGCAAGGGCAGATAACTCTGCACAATGTGGGTGTGCTCACACACACACACAGATGATCCATAAGGAAAGTATTGTTGAAGAAAGCAACAGCAATAGTAAATACAGAAAATGACAAAGGAAGGATCATGAGGCATGTGCTTAGGTAGTTGATATTTTTCTACCTCCAGCCCTGGGGTTAGATGAATTTGGTTCGGAGCCTCCTCCACGCAGCATGTTACCATAGATGCTGATGGCTGCAATCAGGAAACACAATACAATAGGGCCGATGAGAGCACCTTCGAGGCCTAAGCAGTAGATGCCTCCAGCAATGGATAGGCCTGTCATATAGGGATGCCCTCTGAAAAATATAACGTTTTTAATAAAGTAATAAACTAATCTGCTTAATGAAATTACATTTTTCAAAAATTAAATATATGGACACTGGATATCCATCTATATTTCTGAGATAAGCTATTGCAACTATTTACATTGTTGTTCTCATCGTTATTGCCATATTCACAAAGTTTTGGCTGTTGTACGCTCCAGCCTTCTTCAAGTGATATACTCATGGCCCATTGAATAAAAATGTTGGATGAGTAATCCAAAAAGTCACTTGATCCAAAGAGTCAGGAGTTCAATACTTGGCCACAGCAGAGGGAACAAAAATTTGGAAAGTTCAGTTATTAAAGGGATATCCAAAAATGGCATGGCATGTGGAATTAGAACAATTTATCCCTGTAGACTAAATAAAGGGTTCAGTTTGAAATATCACTGTATATCTCCTGAAGAAGGTAAGAGTTTACAATGGCTGAAACCATGAATATGGCAATGAAGATGTGGATGAGAGTCTCAACGATGTAAATAGACATTGGAAATTTTAAAAAAAAATTGCTTAATGTTTCATGATATTGGCAAAAGTTTAATTAGAAAAGAAAAACAAAAAAAGATACATTTTTATCTTCAACAGACATAAGTGACTGTGATGATTCAATTCATTAGTTCAGAAATTAGGATACAAATGGAAAAAACAAAAGAACTTCATGTTACCTGATGCATATTCAGAAGCAACAAGAAGGTGATGTACTGTTCCAGAAGAATAATACCTGACCATGTGATGCCTATGCTATTTAATTGCACTTATGCATTTGTGGGAATTTATTGAATGAGCTTACTTACCCCTTTATTTCACTGTAAATGGCTGTGTCTACAACATAAGTTGGCAGGAGGTGGGCCACTATCAATAATATGGCTTGGAGGCCTTCTCGGTTGACCAGCCAAAGTTCAAGAACAGCAGGAATCACTGCCCAGTAGGTCCCTAAAAAGGGGATAGCACCAAAAACAGCTGCTAATGCTGAAGATAGAAAGAAAAGAACATTAATATTAATGATGTAGTGAAGGAAAGAAAATGTAATTCTTTAAAGATGGAGGGGGGGGGTCACTCCCACCACAGCAGAAGAAATTAGCCTTGTGTTCACAGAGATAAAAGCATACTTGACAGGAAATAAAATGTACAGAAATAACAGGAAAGCATGGTAAATTGTATGTTAATTTCATACAATTTATATTTTTTGTATAGTGTGTATATTCATTTAAGTTACAATTGTTTCATGGTACATATAATGATAAGAAGTTACTTCATATTATTACACACCATATCACAGAGAGAAGTTGGAGACATGTTGCCTGCACCAAGGTTTATGGTGAAGAGATTGAATTTAACGTATTTTGGCGGGATGTCCATATTTCAGACAGGAACAGTTTTTGTTGCATGCTGGGAGTATTTTTATTATTTTTATTTAATTTATTTTAAACAAAATTTAAATGTTATTGTTTTATTTATAATTTTCATTATTATTCATTATTTTTATTTATGTCCCTATAAGATAATGCTTTATTTAACCTTTTCACAGATTTTAATTTGTTACAATTATGAAATCATTAGGAAAATATATTACAATTCAATTTTTTTGTTTCACTTGTATGTTGCATTGAATATTCTTCATATATGTGTTGAATTGTTCTTGGGCTAACTAAGAAAGGGTTTCAAAATACGAGGTTGGCCAGAAAATCTTCATTCACTTAGGAAGCAGAAAGAAAAAACAAATCTTGATCTTTGTCTCGTGGAGTTTCTAAAGAGTACTGCATTTCAAGCTTGTTCAACATGATCATGCCATCAACACTAAACTGTATGTGTCACTCATCTAGGTACTGACCAGGCTAGACATTGCTGAACTTTAGTGATCATACAGTAACTGGTGTTTAAACATGATGTGGTTGTAAGGTGATCAACAGTTTGAATGAGGCTAGTATGCCCAAACCCTCAGTCTGAATGACTTTGTAATGGTACGACCATTGACAACTTTGAGTTTTCTCTATTTTTTAATTGACAAAGCTTAGATTATGCCATGATATAGTTTTCAGGCACTTTCTGATGATATCACATGCTGGAACTGTCTTCTCAGATTGATACATATATGGATTCAGTTCTAGTTTCAGTCATGGAATATAAACAAGAATATTTTCTTTTAAGAATGGATATATGGGAAACAGTAAGAAAGAAAGAGATGGAAAACAAAAAACACTTACCTGATGGTATAAAAACAATATTGACACTGAAGATAGTGTGAGTCAACCAAGTATAAAGACCGTAGAATGCTGCCATTTTCAAGGAAGCCATGAAAACTCCACTGAAAAAAAAAGAAAGAAAACAAAATACCATTTTGAAAACTCTCATTTCTTATCAACTTTTACATCAGACAGTACCATCTTACCTGTCAAGAAAAAAAACAAAAAAACAACCAACAAAAAAAAAAAAAAAATCACACTTTGTCTTGTATTCTTATGGTTAAGTTAATGGTTTTTTTTGTTGTTTGTTTTGTTTTATGGCATATCAACCTCAATTGGTTATTTAATACCGACAAGATTTTTATTGCTGGGAATATTTTTTTTTATCTATCTCAGTATATATTGGTTTGTTTTGTTTTATATATTGGTTTGTATATCAACCGCAATGGGTTATTTAATGCCAACAAGATTTTCATTGCTGGTAATATTTCCTTTTTCAAATATGTATTGCTGGTAATAATTTCTTACAAAGTATTGCTGATATTAAAACCTATTTTTACACTTTGATATTGTTTTAACCCCATTTTGGGGGTTAACTATTTACCCATAGCTGGGACCCTAACAGGTGCTACCATCCCAGGTTAGGGTAGACCTGGGAGCACCAGAAATTAAGAGATGGTTCCATGCCCCTCAAAACCTCCTGATCAGAGGCCTTGCTGTTGGATGTAGTTTATCGTCTTACCCAGGATGTGTTAAGTTAATGGTGTTAGGCTAACATCTAAATACACTTTTCATAAACATGTTCTTTTCATAAAGCGGATGACTCCAGAATTAAATATTTATGATTATAAAGGATTAAATCATGATTACAAACTAAGAAAATGTTTTTTTTTTTTGTTTTTTAAAAAAAAAAAGGAAAAATGTAAGATCCATATGTCTACTATTTATCCATGCATTTAAAATTGCTGCCACTTCTGATCTAGTGCTTCTGCTATATATCTGGAGATTCTTGATGAAATCCAAAAAAAGAATCTGCATATCCACTTCTATAAATATTTTCATGGCAATTGTTCTGATGAGCTTTCATTTTTGGTATCGTGACTTTATGAATTTAAGTGCAGTACTAGACTGGCAGTTAGGTCTCAGATAGATGTAACCATAAATTCTATTCTAATAGTTTCTTCTCTTGCACTTCTAGCCTCTGGAACTCTTTTTTATTTTCTTGCTTTCCTGTTGCCTACAATCAAAAATTCAAATGTAATCCGCATCATCAACTTCTGTCTCCTTGAATCCAGTTGTTTTGTCTTCTCTCTTCAATAAAGTTTTCTTAGTTTCTTTCACTTTTTCTTGTGCCTCAGTGGCTTTATTATTTTGCTTGGGGTGAAGTGATTAAAAAAGCGTGCGGAGTAGGAGTGAAATGTTCTTGGCACAAACCACTCCCCTGAAATCTGAACTACCATTAAAATAATAATTTTTCTTCATTTAGAATCACTTCTTGGTTAAGCTGAGAAGATATCACTACTCTCTATCCTGCTACTAAACATTAAAAAAATTTTCTGAAGGGTTTCTGAGTCTATCTGATATGATTGATTGATTTGTTTTTTATGTCTTATCAACCTTTTGTAGGTTATTTAAAGCCATAAATATTTTTGGATTCTAAAAATTTTTTGAAGTTAAAATTAAATACCATATATACTTGTGGATAGGATGCCTTTTTTTTTTTTTTTTTCACAAAAAAATTTCACATAAAATATTTTGAGAAATCCCTGAAGAAAATGATTATTAAGTCCTTCAAAAAATGTGACCTACCTGAATATGACATATTGTGAGGATATAGTTGCTTCAACATGGAAAAAAGAATAAGGAAACAACATGAAAAACAAGAATAAGGATATGATTTCTGGAAAAGGCCAAGAATAAGGATAAGTTCCCATGAAGAAATGGAAAATTAGAATAGGATATAGTCCTCAAGCATGGAAAAAAATAAGGATATGGCATCTCAAAGCATGGAAAAGGCCAAGAATAAGGATATAGTTGCTTCAAGCATGGAAAAGGCCAAGAATAAGGATATAGTTGCTTCAAGCATGGAAAAGGCCAAGAATAAGGATATAGTTGCTTCAAGCATGGAAAAGGCCAAGAATAAGGATATAGTTGCTTCAAGCAAAGATGAAGATGGTTATATCACAAGTGATGATGAGTTGACCAACTACTATGAAATGGACAATGATGAAAACCTATTAACTGATTAACAAATGAGAATGTTTCATAGCGATGATAATGAAGAATTCTTGGGATTCAGTTTTGAATGAATTTTTTTCTAAATGTAACGTAACATTTTCTTCTGTAGTTATTTATTTTTTTTTGTCAAGTTGACTTGATATAAAAATAATATGCTGTAACTAGAAAATAACAACAGTTACTTCCTTTTGTTTACATGGTGATTGGCGAAATGTATTTAAACTGCAAAAGTGTATTAATAATTGTAAGTTTTGAAATAAAGGTAGATATCTGATAATTTTTACATTTAAAAAGGGCTGTGTAACTCCTTAGATTATAGTGCAACCTATCTGCAAGTCAACAGTAAATCATCAATTATTAAGCCATAAAGTAGGGTTGCGACCTATCCGCAAGTATATACGGTAAGTGCTAAAATACAAATATTTGGGAAGTGTATTAACAGAGGATGGAACATGTGACACCAAAATCTGAAGGCTCATTAGGACAGCAAAAGATGCCTTCCAAAAGTTAAATAAAGTATTAAGAAACAGGAAAATTTAATTGGAAACAAAGAAAAGAGTACTGAACTGTTATGTAATATCAGTCATCCTATATGGCAGTGAATGCTGGACAATCTCCTTGCAGATGAAGAGGAGACTTGAAGCAACAAAAATGTGGCTCTACAGAAGGATGCTGAGAATACCAGGGGTCGAACATGTTAGCAATGACAAAGTTTTAGAGGAAATGGAAAGAAAAGGATACATACTTACTATCAAAAATTGAAATTTCTCGGGCACGTAATGAGGAAACCAGGTTTAGAAAATTTGACACTCAGAGAACATATTGAAAGCTTGAGGGGAAATAGGAAAACACACATAACAAGCTTGTTTCTAAATATTGGCAGAACAGAGTTTGGAAGAGATGGCAAAAAAGATAAAATTTATTAAGATCTGCAAAGGCCTGGAAATTGTGGAGATCCATGATAGCCAAGATTCCAAAGGGATATGACACACAGAAAAAAAAGAAGCTTCTTCCAGCCAAGAGACAAACTTACCTGACAGCATCTTCCACTGCTTGGCCAATGCTGTTACCACCTTGCATAGGAGCAAATGCCGTAAACCATTGAACTGGTTTGTATTGATCACCGCTTGATGCCAATAGATAGAAGAGTGTTGTTAAAAATATGGCCTGAGGAAATAAAGAGAAGAAATATACATAAAAGACATATGGATATGAAAGGGATATGAAAAAAATATGGATATGGAAGAAATATACATGAAAGACATTGATATGGAAGATAAATGGAAGATATATACATGAAAGAAATATTGATATGGAAGATATATACATGGAAGACATATTGAAGATATATGAAAGAGATATATATATGGAAGATATATACATGAAAGAAATATTGATATGGAAGATATATACATGGAAGACATATTGATATGGAAGATATATGAAAGAAATATTGATATGGAAGATATATACATGGAAGACATATTGATATGGAAGATATATGAAAGAAATACGGACATGAAAGACATAGATATGAAAGAAATATTGATATGAATGATATACAGAAGAAATATGCAAGAAAGAAATATGGATATGAAAGACATATAGGCATAAAAAATATATGGAAAAAATATCGATATGAAAGACATATGAAAGAAATATGCATGAAAGACTATTCAATAGTCAACCTCCCTATAGTTGCTCAGAACTCCAGTGACAATCACTTTCCACACTGTTCAGTCCTGTATTGCTGTCTCCAGATTCCCAATATCCAACCCTGAGTCTCAAATTATGGTGTCAGGGAAAGTCAATTTTTGTGAGAAGACATTTCCAGAAAGATATCATAGGAGTGAGGATGAGACAATTTTCATGTCCACTTGGTGGAAGTGGCTGGCAAACTGTAATTGTTTTTATTTGTAATTTGTTTTTAAGAGAGATTGGTCTCGGTTCTCTGTAAATTATGTTAAGCGTTGCATGGAATCTCCAACTGATGTTCTGGATTTTTCTAAGCAGATTTGTAAATGTTCCATCCAGTCATCTTTCAAAATGAACAGATAATGGCCAAGTCTCTGTTCCATACAGTAGGACTGGTTCAGTCATTATTTAAAAGGTCTGGACTTTTAAGGAGGATGGAAAATTCGAGTGCCAAATCTTGTGAAGTTTGTAACATGCATCCTATGCAAGAGCTTTGCAGGTGTTGAAGTCTTTTTGGAAATCTATTATGTGAGATCAAAGATATTTGAAGTCCTCAACTCTTTTGATGGATATATTATTGAGTGATTTCAACTCTGATGGTTCAGGGGAGGTTGTGATATATTCTGTCTTACACTCGTTGCAATAGAGACCTACCTGGGTCACTGCTTGCTCAAGTGATTGAAGCAAGTATTCTGCATCCTTGATACATTGAGAAATTAATGCAAGATCATTGGCAAAGTCAAGGTCGGTCAGGTATTGTGGAAGGTAACGACTTCTCTGGCGAAGTTTCAAAAGGAGTCCTTTTTCCTCCATATTGTCAAGGGAAATATGCAGAACATAGTCCAGAACAACTATAAACAGAAAAGGAGCAAGTGTGTCGCCTTGTAGAACTCTTGCTTTAACTTCAAAGGAATAAGTCTCGTCATCAGGTGATACAATGGTGGCAGTGGTGTTTCTGTTCAGAGCTCTAATTGCTTTAATAATTCTAGAGGGTATACCATAGAGTTGGAGGATTTTGAACATGAGATCACTGCTGATGGAATCAAATGTCTTGTAAAAGTCAACAGAATGTGAGATTTTGTTGAATTTTTTTTTCATCTCTTTCAGTATGAAACTGCTATTTAACTTCAGCTCCTTGATAAGTTCCAAAGAAGAATCTGCAATATGATTGGTGCTGATCTGGCAGCTCAGCTCCAGTCACTTTCCCATGACTGTAAGGTTGCCTCTCTATGTCTTTTCTATAAATACTTTCATAGTAATTGACTATGGTATCTAGACTTTATGAATTTCAGCACAGTACTAGACTGGCTTAGAAATCTCATCTATTTACAGATGAGATGGTTAGATGTAGCCATAAGTTCTATGCTAACAGTTTCTTTTCTCACACTTCTTGCTTGTGGAACTCCTTCTTTGCCTGCCAGCCAACTTTACTCTGTAAAAATTTATATCCAATGTTAATTGCTATCTACTGTCCCCCTGTCTACTATCTTCTCTTTCTGCTCACCATTAATGTTTCTGTTCCTAATTCATCCACACCCTGTAACCCCTTGTGTTTTAGTGGTATTTACTGCCTTGCTTGGGGTGATTCTGTTGATAAAAAAAGTATAGGATTTTTTTTTTTTTTTATAAGCAACTAAGGATTTTGACCAGTACTTGAAATGCTTGAAAAATGCACAAGAATTAATACTCAGGCTACTTAAATCTTGTTAAATAGAAAAGAAAACATTTCATTGTAACTAAACAAGCAAAATTGACAGAATTTTTTAATACAGTTTAATGAAGCTGACTTTATGTATAGTGCGACCCTTGAACTTTTTTGCATGAATTTTAATCCACCCCCAGAAAAAAATTACCAGTATATAGTGCCACTGGTTACTGAAAATGCATAATTTTTAACCTTTTCAAAAGAATTACCTGTGTATAGTGCAAATCCCTTATTTTATGTGTAAAAAAAAAAAAAAAATAAAAATAAAAACTTGCACTATAGTCTAGTATATATGGTAGTAACTTTTTACACTACATTGTTCGGACTGTTGTCCTCATCTTTAATGTCATATTCACAACATTTTAGTCATTGTAGCATACAATGACCAAAATGGTTACTTAAAACTTTTATACTTGGGTCTAATAACTAGAAAAGAAAACATATTTCAACGTAATTAGACTAGGAAAATTAGAATTCTTCAATGCAGTATAAAATAATGTATTTTTTCACCTATGTGTTGTGTCCCTTCAAGACTTTTGTGATCATGGCTTTCCACAATTTCCTATACTTTGTAGCTCTTAATAAATTTTCTCCTTTTGTTATCTCACCTAAACCTTATTCTGCCATTCATTTTTGCTCAAGCTCACTAGGCAGGTTATGCATTGTTTTCTTCTGTTCCTCTTGCTTTCGATCTGTCCTGTGAGTATCAAATTTTCCAAGCCCACTTTCCTCATCTGCCTATGAAATTTCAACTGTCTCTTTCTGATTTTAAGTATGAGCATGTTTTTTTTGTTTCCATTTTCTCTAAAACTTTATTGTTGCTCACATGTTCAGTCTATGGTATTCTCAGCATCCTTTTGCAGAACCATATTTCTGTTGCTTCAAGTCTCTTCTTCATCTGTGTGGAGATTGACCAGCATTCTCTGCGATATTTTTTTTTCTTTAATTTTACATTATGTTTTCCTTTTTTTTGTTGTTGCTTTGTTTACACTGACATCCATAAGAGAATTGCTTAAGAATTAGTCAAATTTGAGTAAAGTTGCTTATAAAAGAGTTACTTATTAAGAAAATGTCTATATCAGACTTTATTATGAAAATCACTGTTTTCCCAATAAAATTATTATTAACTGACTTGTGTTTAAATTTTTGGGATATATCTATATAAGCAACATATCATATGAGTTTCAGCTTAAATCTACGTTTTTTTTTAAATTATTGAGAATGACTTTGTTTGATGGTGTTAGGTTTTATTATACAAACAAACTAAATGCAACATAAATTCTTATTTTATCCATCCAAGACAATATGTCTTGTGGTGTCTTGCCTGAAACATTCTTTAATGGGGACAAGTGCACATCACATTCACCCTGATGGGCTTGTAGCTTTATAGCAACAGTTACCTATCAGTTTTTCAATTTTAGAGCACTGCAACAAATACTGTAACATGACATTTCTAGCATCATTTGTTATTATGGGTTATTTTATGAAAATTGTAATACATTTGTTATTATGGGTTATTTTATGAAAATTGTAATACATTTGTTATTATGGGTTTTGACATTTTGTCTTTAAGTTTTTACTTATAGTTGATAATTATTTGATAAAATGCATAAATGTAAACACAATGTGACCCTTGCTCAAGCTTTCCTCTGACTGGCCAGTGATTACTCCATGTTGCATTTCAATTCTTGATCTCATTGGTGTGCACCGAAACTTGGGAAAGGGCCTGCTTCCTGTTCACAAGGTAACAAGATGAAAGACAAATGCCATGTTGAGAAATAAGAATGTGAATATTAAGTGTTTATTCAGGGCTTCGACTGCTCAAGTAGGTAGGTGACACATTGGACAACTTCTATGTCAATCACATCCCTGGCAATATGAATGGGTGGCACTGGAACTACACAATGGAAAACTATCTTTTACCAAGGGCAGATCAATCTCTCTCTGATCCCAAGCCAGACTTAATATAGAGTAGCATCTGAAAATAATCAGTGTCCAGTTTGTGCCACCAAAAACTCCTCACCCACTCCTTTCTTTCCCTTTGGTCAAAGTGGATGCTGTGAGAGATCAAGATAAAACCACATCTTCATTTTTAACATTTGTGTCCATGGTATCACATAAAAATAGTGGATGAAATTTTGAAAATTTAAATGTTTATTTATCTTTGAACAGTTTACTATAAAAGATATATTAGATGAAATTAAAATTCATGATTTTGTTTATTCAGAAAAAGAAAGATTGTTCATCTAAAAAAGTTACCTCTACAATTTCCTTATTTCTTCATATTTTAAACTTATGCTGTTATCATGTGTTTTAGAAAGTGCTTTCCTTGACTTTCTTTAAACAAAAAATCAGTTTCAGATGACAAAAATGAATTGACTGTGTGAAGATGAAAATAAAATTAAAAGCCAAAAATTAAGTGCCAAACAAAGGAAAATTAATCTCACTAGCACCTTGGTTCATATCTTTTAAAAGTTTTACCTTGTTGTTATTGATAATTCTGTTTTATTGTTTAATGTTAAACTTATCAATGATCCTCTTTGATAAGGGTTGATTGGAAAGCTAGCCACTTAATATGACTTGCACCATCTTTTTTTCTTTTTGACAGTAATTTTCAACATGGCTCTGCATCTTCAGGCTATACTAAAAAAAAATAATGTTTACATATTAACAGATACAAGATGACAAGCATAAAAAGCAATAAAACTTACGGCAGAGATTATGAAATTCAAAAGAGCAGTCCCACCACCAAATAAAAGGGACAGGACAGCCGTGAGAAATGAGAAAGCCAAACTAACGTTGCCTTTCAGGACCAGCCATATTGAATCCATTACCTAAAATAAAAGAAACAAAATAATGAAGCAAGTTGAAAATTTTAAGTGGCAACTGACAGATAAAAAAAAAATAAAATACTTGAGAGTTTTTATAATTAGGATATAAGAATAAAAACCATAAAAAATGCTTCAAATTAAATTTTGTGTCATGGTTACCTGACCTTTTCATTTTCCAGAATATCACTTTGAGTTTTTCTACATCTTCATTTAATCCAACCAAATGCATCTCTCGTCAGAGCTATTTCAACTTGAAGCCACTCTGTAAATCAGTGTGATTTTTTTTTCATCTTATGTATTGTTGCTCATTTTTCAAGCATATCCAGAGGCGGATATGCAATATAATTGGCCCTGTTCTGACATCTCGTCTACAGTTGCTCTCCCACAGACGCGCTGTCGCCTCTGTCTTTTTTACAAATACTTTCATGGCAATTGCTCCGAGGGGCTGCATTCGCTGGTTCCCAGACTTCATGAGTTCAAGCGCCCTACGAGGCTGGCATCTCGCTCTCACCCTTTCACTGTCAAAACTATTAAATGTAGCCGTCTCTTCTACTCCAATAGCTTCATGTCTCGCATCTCTCACCTGTGGAACTCCCTTCCCTATTCCAGCTTCCCTGATAGCTATAATCTCCAACTATTCAAATGTAATATCAATTGACATCTCCAGTTACCTTGATCTATCCACTATCCTTCTCCTCATCCTTTCCTCTATCACTCCTATCTGATCTTGCCCCAAATCTTCTGTAACCCCTTGCATCCTAGTGGCTTCCCAATTTGCTTGGGATGAAACGCTTAAAAAAAAAATCCATTTTCTCATAAACATTGGTGTTTCTTCAACATCTACAGAGACAACCTATGGCTTTGCTGATTCCCATCTATACTAGGAATAACTGCAAAACATTTTCCTCTCCCCAATTTACAGGCAAAACCACACAGATGCATACTGGGATTTCTTCTTAGCCAATAAGATAGGCCACTTCTTGGACTCATCTGTCTCAGTCCTGGTCTGTTATCTCTTGAAGTTAGAATGCTGTTTGTTTATCCAAATTCTCTCTTGTGTCAACATCAATTCTTAGTTTGTGAACTTTTTGCCTTATTACTGTTGCTTTGTCTTGCATATATTGTTTCTCATTTTTGCCCTATTTTTTTCTTTTCTTGTTTATTACAAACTTTGTCAATTCTGTTTGTTGGACAGTTTTGCAAATTAAATTTAATCATGACCAGTCTCAACAGTGACAAATCAAAATATGAACTATACTGAAATTATACTGAATGGATCTTAGTTACAGTTCAAATATATTTTCTCCACCAGGGTCCCATAAGGTTTTGAATTCAGTTGTTCTTCTATACTGGTTGACAACCATAGTTAAAGAGTTCAATCTCTACCCTGCACATAGTTGCTGAGAGAAGTGGTGGAATCATAGCAGTTACAAGGATATTTGTGTGAAAGTGAATGCAACGATCTTGCCCAGAATTTGAACTTGGCTTGCTGATTTCTCATTCTAAGATGCTGTCCGTTACACCATTGGCACATCTGCCAAATGCATAACTGCCAAAAATTAATCTCTAAAAGCACGGAAATTTAATAGTTAATCAAAAACACACTTTTCAAATTTGGTTTTTGATTTTTTAAAACTAAATACAAGTTTACTTTTTTCTTTCTTCTAATGCCATATTACTACCTCCCAACAATGAAAATGAAACACTTTATCAATTATGTACTTGGAACCATTATTAATTTTCAGAAAGATTAAATTAACATTGAACTATTTTGAGGAACATTTCAACCATAAGGTTGACTCTCTATGTTTTTTCTATAAATACTTTCATGGTAATTGTTTGGATAAACTCTTTGCTATAGTACCTAGACTTTTTAATTTAAGCACAGCACTAGACTGGTGGCGAGATTTCATCAGTTTACAGTCAAGCTGGCTAGATGTAACTGTAAATTCTATGCTAATAGTTTATTTTCTTTCACTTCTTGCTTGTAGAACTTCCTTCCAGCTCCATGCTTTCCAGACAACTTTAATCTGCAAAAATTTAAATGCAATGCCAATCGCTATTTGTTGTTCTCCTGATTACTCTTTTCTCTTACTATTAATATTTCTGTTCCTAATTCTTTCACACCCTGAAACCCTAATTTGCTCCTGTCCCACTGGCGGCATCTCTTCAAATCCATTACCAGTGTTAACAAAGACTGACTTTTATCACGTCTAGTGAGGTCGCTACACAGACTTTTGGTCATGTGAGACATAACCCAGTTCATGCAGATTGAGTCTCTCATGCAAAACACAGGCGATCTTATGTCACTGGGGGGACAGGCTGTGTCTAATACACCTCCCACTCTATTCATACATCTGTTCAATGGATTCCTTACTAGTACAATGTCCCCTTGTACATACCCTGCTCAGATTCAGGCAGAGCGATCCTGCTGACCTTTCACTCGGACTTCATACTGTTACAAGGCATTAGCCATTGCAGTCACACTGTGAGTGCCATCATTTGGTGCAATGTTGTGCCAGTAAACCACTTCCTGGACAGAGCATTGCTTTCTGGCAGCAATCTGCTTTATGGATCTGTGAGATCATTCAACAATACCATTTCCAGATGGCACATATGCACATTGAAAATGCAGGTGGACACCCCAACTCTCAGCAAATGTTCTAAAGCTCCTTCTGTTAAATGCTGTGTCGTATGTCAAGATCTCTTTCAGTGGGCCTTTCTCAAAAAAGCTAGAGTTAAGACACTGGATCATAGTTGTTGAATCTTCTTGTCTCCAAATGGAAAAATGGGTAGGTCTACAGTCTATCAGGGTCAGGTAGTGAGCACTCTCATATACCTACTGTCTCCAGATTTCTTTTTCGTCATCAGATCAGTGGCAGATTGATTGACAGGCATTCCAGGTTGGATTTAACAGCAGATCTCACAGCCTCTTTCATCGTAGATAAGTGATTACATCATTCGTTTTACACTTGGATGTCTGCTGTATTTGTCTTATCTGATTCGGTTTTATACTGCTGCCAGTCACAGCATATAGCTATAGCACAGGTTCTGCCTCATTCTTCATTGCTTCCAGCCATCTCTGCAGAACTCTGGTGCTTCTGTCCACTTTGTTCTGATTTGATGAGTGTAAGGTCCACCATTAACTCATACTCCTTAACCAGCTCCAAGAAGGTTAGCGCCTCAGTGCCTACTCTGGCTTTGTCTGTCAGCATGTTCATGAGCCAGTGATACACACAATGAATCAGTTTTTAAGTGTACAGTCTTAGCTTCCCATTGTATAGCCAGGTTTATCCCTTTTATAATAACATCTAGCTCTGTCAGGTTGATGTATTGGGTCTCTGATTCTGGCTGTAACCAACATGCATCTTCAATAACAGACCCAAGTGATTCAAGCAAGACTCCACTAACCAAAGAACTTGTGTCAACCCACATATCAAGTTCTTTGCTATCAACACACCACTCACCTTTACATGAGTCATTTTGCCACACCCTGATAAGTCTCTGTCAGCATCCTTTTAGTGGGGCATTGTTGGTTCGATCGTCCCAAATTTTCATCATTATGCTTGCCCTTCGTCTGATGACACCAGCTGCTCAGACTGGAAGGTGTCCAACAAGCTTGCCATGAAAAGAGAATACCTTCCTCCTGGTGACCACCTCTGGTACTTCAGGAAGCACATTCCCATGCCTCCAATATGATGTCTTTCTTTCAGACAGTTAAGCCAAGTATCCAAGCACCATTTTTGGTTGTTCTAGAATTTTGCTTGTTAGTCCAAAGCATGACAAGTGTTCAGCAACAGTAGTTGCAGATGTAATATCCACATTTATGTACAGGTTGTCAGTTGCCTCTCTGATTTTTAATTCTGAGAGATCACAGCATTGATGACAGATCTCATTATTGGGAGTGGGGTAAAATTCAGCCCAAATCCTAAATGGCTAAAGTCGTTCATCAATGCACACCCATAGATAAGCTGATTTGAGATCTAGCAGTGTGACGTTCAATCTTTTGGGTCTCCATTCTCTTAGTTTGTTAGCACAAACATCAGTGTCTTCAGTGTACGCATTGACATGGTTGTTGAGTTCAACTTGTTTTGTTTCAACTTGTTTTGCTGCACAACAGCAATTAGCGGAAGTAGCCCTCTTGGGGTTCCAAGCTTCTGCTCATCATATAGAATAAGCTGACTGTTGTGAAGTAGAAGATAGCACTAATCAGTTGCTATATTCATACTGCTGGTGGTTATTCTCAGTGACCACTTATAAGAGTGTTCACTTATGCCTATGCAAATTATGCATACTAATTTGCTAGTATCACTACATCTCCCTGAACCTTAAAGGCTTTATTCCTCTCATAGATCTTATAGTCCTTCTTCTGCTATTTTCATCACTCTGCTCTCTTTCTCTCTCTCCCGTATTTCTTTCCCTGGGAGACCTCAATCTGTCCCGAGGTAGGCTGTAGTCATATGTGTTTTCTTGCATAATCTGGTCTTCATCTGAACTTTCAGACTCCTTCTGGCCCTCTTCATCCTGCATTGTTTCCTCTGACGTTTCCTACTGTAATGGTTGTTCTACCAACTCATTATCAGATGGAATTGAAGACATTTCCTTGTCATTTCATTCTTCCTCTTCACCCTGGGTCCTTATTTGGTCAGCATGGGCCAACACACTATCGCCATTCTCTCTATTTATTATGGCTGTATTATGGCCTTTTTGCATTATAAACTCGGCTCCTTCCGGATCCACATCCTTGCTCTTCTTGTACCACATCTTTTCATTTGTAGAGTATGACATTGTTAGCGGAGCTCTAATCTGTCTTCCCATTAAAGCTGATGGGCTTTCGAGTCTTCCCGCATGTGGTATCATCCGATAACTTAAAAGCAGCCTCGGTAGAAAAACTTCTACTTTTTCTTTTTGCTGAGAGCATGCTTTTAACCCCTTTTTTATGGTCTGAACCATTCTTTCCGCTAGTCCATTTGATTGAGGGTGATATGGAGGAGTTTTAT